GGCGGCCGTGCAAATAAGGACGAAATTTCTGCACTGATCACCGACCAGACAATAGCGCGGCACTCCTGTTCAGTGATCATGTAGTTCCTCTCGGCTGCGGAGAGGACGCGGCTGGAGTATGCAACGACTCGCTCTCGCGAACAGTTGTCGCGTTGCAGGAGCACGGCTCCTAAACCGCGGCAGCTAGCGTCTGTATACAGGAAGGTTGGTGCATAATTGTGATGAGAAAGTACAGGGTCGGTCATGAGGGCACTCTTCAACCTGTCGAAAGCGAATTCACATTCCTGAGACCACTGAAAGGGCATAACGAAAGCAAGTAGCTTATGGCGTGGTGTGGCTATGGAGGCAAAGTTTTGTATGAATCGCCGAATTAAGAGGCGAGACCAAGGAAACTTCGCAAATCTTTCGGTTTGTCAGGGCGAGGGAAGCGAAGCACTGCAGCAGTTTTATCAGGGTCTGGAAGAATTTCGTCTTTGCTCACAACATGACCGAAGACCTTGATAAATCTGGTGGCGAAAATGGCACTTTTTGGTGTTAATTTGAAGACCAGCGCCCGCAAGACAAGTCAGGACCTCGTCCAAGTGTAGCAGATGTTGAGGAAATGTCGATGACAAGACAACAATGTCATCGAGGTAACATAGGCAAGTCTTCCATTTCAGGCAACGCAGCACGGTATCAATAATGCGCTCAAAAGTTGCGGGCGCATTGCATAAACCGAACTGGCATAACATTGAATTCGTATAGGCCGTCTGGGGTCGCAAACGCAGTTTTTTGTTTATCACCTTCGTGCATAGGGATTTGCCAATAGCCGGAACCCAAGTCGAGGATCGAGAAGAATTCCGCACCTTGTAAGCAATCGAGGGCGTCGTCAATGCGTGGCATGGGGTATACGTCCTTCTTAGTGATCTTATCGAGTGCTCGGTAATCGACACAAAATCTTATGGAACCGTCTTTTTTAAGCACAATATATTTTGTGCGTAAAATCCCACAATATATTTTGTTGTGAGTGGATGGCCCGAAATGGCGACTGAGCTATTATTCTAGCTTCTGGAATAACAGGATGCCTACGCGGGTGCGCGAATGGACTGAAATGTCGACAGCTTGCCGAAAATGAGCTCGTGACGGCACTGAAACATTTTAACGATGAGACCAAGAAATGGTAGAAGAGTAGAATGATGTACTCAGTTGTGAGTCATAGTTTGCAACACCTTGATAACTACCACGGCGAACGATCCTTTCCTTAAGTAAATAAAGTCGCATCATTCGTAACATGCATGGCTCATTAAAGAAAGTTCTGCTAATGCATATTGAAACTCATTTAAAGACGACAATCATGAGTGGTATCTCGATAAAAACATTTCATTTTCTACACACAGGTGACACAACGCATTTCCGTGTAATGAGTCAGTATCTGTTTACAACAATGCCTTCTCAATAATTGCTTGCGCGTCTTTTGTTTTATTCGCAAGATAAAGTTTTACAGCCGACAAGCCCACCGCGGAACATTGTTTCCCTTAGGCTGCAAGGATAAGTGACGCGCCTGAGCTTCAGGTCCCTCCTCTTTTCACGGGAAAATGCTCGCTCCTAGCTAAGTGCCTTTGTGTAAAATTGCAAACAGGGGAGCAGAAAGAACTTGGTCACTTGATTAGTGATGCTTGAACCATGTTGTGCGCAGCCCAGTGTGACATATTTTTTTTGCGAGCAGAAAACAAGCTATTTCAGGCTGTCACTGTGAAGTTCATTGTAGCTAAACTATTTTGAAAAAGTGATTTTAAGGGCGTCCACAAATGAATAGAGCTTCTCCGAAACGTGTGCGCACGAGGGGTTGACCCCCCCCCCCCCCTTTTGTCACCTGGGATGGGGGCGCGAAATCTGCTCTATACATTGACAAGGCAGCGGGAGGGGTGAGAAATCTGCTTCATGCACTCATTTACATAGAGAGGGTGGCACTGCAAAGAACCTTCAACCTGCCTGAATGGGAATCTTGCGCACGCCTATGGATACCCCTTTACATGCAGATAATATCGCATGTAAACAATGTGCTCAAAGTGCCGGGAGATCTACATTTTGCCGAAGTGCAGCTTCCACACAGCTGAGTTTTCTTGAAGCAGTTTGTCAGCTCGCGGTATATCACTCTCCGCCACTGCGCAAACAGAGCTTCCTCCTTTGGAACGCCGAACAACGCATGGTTTTTTTGCTCACTTGTAGTCTGTAGCACATTTTTAGCTCACTTGTAGCCTGTAATGACTTTGTTTTCGGGCCATGAGAGTGCATACAGAAGCATTGGGGTCAGAGCGAGGATGAACGTGCGCGGTGATACTGTCGGAAACATGCAAACAAAGTATCAACCACTGCGCGCACCCCCATGCGGCTCCTCTTCAGAGGCTTCAGTGCGCTCCGAAGGCGCCGCATGCCACTCATCACGTTTGCCAATTCTAATCACTGTACTATACCATCTGCGTGACTGCGACACACTCGGCTGCGATTTTTGGGGCCTTTAAACATTTGAAGCTGGCAGCAGTAATGACAGTTTCTGCGTACTCAGCTTCGCAAATCATCATCACAGCCTGCCCATTCACACTATGTGTCTTTAAATATGCGCAACATATCTTTACTTCTCAGCAAATGCAAGGAACAAACAAGATGCCTCACTTGACAAGATTTGACTGATCAGATTGGAAGCTTGAAACGGTTTTTAGAGGACGAACTATTCAGCCAACATACATGGAAACCTCCCAGCGTAATCTGCAAGTCAACAAACCAGATGACTGAACTCCTTGGGAGTCTCAAACAGAAACACGCACACCTTGGCCAGGCTCATGAAACATCAGTATCATCTTATCAGTATCATAATATGGTTAGAATTGACACACACCCACAAATAGGGTTATAATCAACGTGCTTTATACGTTTTGTGTTCACGCCACAAAACTGGCTGCAATTACTCTGTCGAGATTCACGATTTATGATTGATATGTGGAGTTTAACGTCCTGAAACCACCATATGATTATGAGAGATGCTGTAGTGGAGAGATCCAGAAATTTTGACTACCTGGGGTTTTTTAACGTGCACCCAAATCTGAGCCCACGAATCTACAGCATTTTCACCTCCAACGAACTTGCAGCCGCCTCAGCCGGGATTTGATCCCGCAACCTTCAGGTCAGCAGCCGAGTACCTTCGCCACTAGACCACCAAGGCGGGGCGCCGAGCTTGGCCGAGAATATTTGCCTCAGGACAGGCGTCACTCGAGATCCATTTGTACACACGCGAGACTGTTGTGCATACATACGCCCATTCCACGAAATTATTGAGAAGTCAAGGTAAAACATTACCAGTACTAACAAACCTTCAGCCGAAACGCCACATTTAGTCGCGTAACGAAGGTGACCTCGTCATATTCTGCACAAATACGCTTTCTTCTACTGTACGTGAGTGCTCTTCGGGGTATTGAGTAGCACATGTTCTCGAGGTCGGTACTGAAAACACCGCAACCCACCGGATTACTTTGCTCAGGAGATCTAGAGTAGAAGTCGAACATATAAAAGAGAAAAAGGATCGTTATCATGCAAAAAAAAATGTAAATGTCTCTGAAGAAACTTGACACTAAAAAAAAAACGACCAAGTGTTCTCTGGGACTGCTGATTTCTCAACAGTCGCTGAAAATAAATTTAAAAATCGGTAGAAACATGACCGCCTTGGACTTTCCGACTAACAGGCACGCGCTCAGCGCAGTCACGAATAAGTTCACTATTTAGTTCAATGAATATGTCAGTTCCACAACAAGTTCCAAAACTTACTTCACAACAAGTTCCAAAACGTATTTGCCGAAATGATGTTCACACACGTGCCTCCTATCGCCTCAGTTTAATAAAGCCATGAGCCTTAACTTAGACGAGCCTGTCATGCGCGACGCCCGGCATCTCTTCATGCGATCCTAAGAATTCCTGGTGTCAGACAGTGCCGTTTGCGCTCCTTCAAAAAGGTGGTCTTTAGCGACGGTGGTGCAGCTTGGTACAGAGTGCGCTCACAGCTGACCTTGAATTACAATTTCAGTATGAATGACATGGCTTGCAAAAAAGTACTTCTTAGCATGATTATTGCAAAGCTTTTTTGTGTAATCAAGTTCAAGAAAGATGAACCTATTGCAGTTGCCCCATTAGTCACCCTTCATCGCGTAATTTTCATCTAAAACATGAATGACGCGCAGGTCAGCGTTTTCTCTTTAGTTTTACGTGATATACATAGTGTTTTAATTGATGTGCATGGGCATGTAATCAAGAGGAACCACAAGAAGAAACAAGCCACACCAAAAATCGTTCTAGAAGTTGAAAAGCTTGCATTTCCTGTTGCAAGAAATAATAAAGCCATGACTTCCTACGCAGCCGGTAAGCATGACACAAGTTGAATGTTCACCGTCATCGGTACATGCGCGAATAATTGATGGAAGGACAATTAAGATGTATTTATTTTATTTATAAGTGATTTATTCATTGTAGGATTTCACTGGGAAATCGTGTGCCGCGAGGCTTCATAAAGTATTCACGTTTTTTGGGAGGCTGACGATATGCGTGACAGAACGTTGTTCGTGGCGTTGCCTAGTGCGTAGAAAATAGGACACAAAAAAGCAGGCGTTGCAGGGGCGGTGACCGGAAACTGAGTTCATTCATAGCAATTCCGCATTTTAAAGCTGGCAGGAAAGTTACAATAAATAACTAAAATATGTCATTAGGTGAATATCCATGACTAGAACAAAATCGAACCAGCAGTTATAGCTTGTGCAAAATTAAAAAGGAAGTTATCAAGGAAACTGTACACTGAAGTAATCTCTCTGGCTCTGTGTGTCCCGTTTTCGCGTGTTAAGCCTCGACATGAGTATATAGCAGCTCGCCCAGTACGCCAGTATACTTGAAAGCTTTAGTATCAGCTAAATAATTTTGTCTCATAGCAGTCAAGTAGGATCTTTACAGTTCATCAGGAAAAAGAAGTAAAACAGACTTACTCTTTCACCTGGAGGACTACGTCGACTCCCACGATTCGCACGTCCATTTGCAACCGCTGAGCTAGAAAGCCCATGTTAGCGTACAAGCGGACCCTGATATTCTTGAAAGTGAGGGCTACACGGGCGCTCATACCACATTGATTCGTCACGGCATAATTGTCGCCTCTTTGGCGAAGGCTGCTGAGGCCGCGAACAGTCACGTTGGTTATGTGGAAAAGCATGCCTCCCCAGGTGATGTCGTCCACGTCAGAAAGCACAAGAGGGTCGAGCTTTGACGCCATTGTCATTCGCCAGATGCTGCAGTCAAATATTCCCGATCCGTAAGGGCCCAGAGGATAGTCGGAATAACATATTCCACCACGTCCAGGCAAGACAATCCCAGGAATATAGCTCGGGTCGTCTCGAGGACTTTTAATTTCTGAAATAAAGAAACATAAAAATGGATGTTACTGATTCAGCATTGCAAACAATTCATCACATCTTAGCCAATATTATAGTGGACGTCAGTCAAGTTGGCCGCGTGTCTACATTCTTCGCTGCAAATGTGGGAAGACTTCTGCCAGCTGTACCACATGAGTCCTGGTCTTATTCGCGGCTACGCATGATGCTGTTCTCGTACCATTTTCACCCTGGCATCATGAACGCAATAAAAGTTTGTTTGAATAGATCTTAATTTACCGCATTATCACTGCTGGCATATCATGTGTTCGTACTTCCGCCACCTGTCAGCAATGATTTGGTCGTGTGTTGCACTTTGACGCATGATAGTTTACAAATAAGACCTATTTTTGAGACATGAATGTATCCTAATGCATTGAAGGGTCAATGAATGTGCGCATGCACTACAGATGCGCCGAAGTAGGTGCCTGCTGAGGTATTCCGCACTTTATCATCAGCAGCGGGCTTTTTCGTACACACCATCGCATTTTTCACCGCATCGTAAAAAACACTAGGTTCTTAGATTTACGTATCGGTGTGTTTTCAGGCTGAAGAACACACAACCTTATACGTATTGACGTTACGCCTCATGTTTGCGTACTATTTGCTTTTTGATTGAGAATGTTCACAAATATGATTACTGGGCGTCCAGAAAGTGGTTAAACGTTGGCTGAGTGGCTGAATCACGTAACAGACAGACAGGCAGAAAGATAGACCCGAATTTTTGAAATAGAGAACCAACAGCATTGTAAACAATTTACCACATAGTAGCCGATATTACAATAGTAGTCAGTCAACACAAGTGGGCCGCGTGTCTCCATGCTTGGCTGCAAATGTCATCGGAAGACGAGAGTCTTCTGCCGTTTGTACAATAAAAGTCGGTCTCACCGCGAGGGCGACACAAATAAATGCGATAGAAACATATCTAAACATCCTAGAAAAAAAGGCAAGCAAGTAAAAAAAAAAACTCGTGGCGCACCACTGGAGCACAATAGACGCACGAAAAGAACATGAGATGACCGAAAACTTACAGCTGTTCTATGCTATATTCAGTGGCAGAAGCAATGTTAAAAAGACCGATAAGACTCATGTAAGAGGCAATGATAAAAAGTGTGTGGGCCTTCTTCATGTTACGTGGCACGTCACACAACCTGAGAAAGATAAGCGACAAAATCGAGTAGACGTTTTTTTTTCAGCTCCTGGACGCTTGCCAAGTCAATGCAAAGAGTGAATCAGACGGGCCGTATAAATGTTGGATGCACATTAATTATTGAGATCAGCTCCGCCGCGGTGGTCTAGTGGCTAAAGTACTCGGCTGCTGACCCGCAGGTCGCGGGATGAAATCCCGGCTGCGGCAGCTGCGTTTTAGATGGAGGTGAAAATTAGGTAGTCCTGTGTGCTCAGATTTTGGTGCACGTTCAAAAAACCCAGGTGGTCAAAATTTCCGAAGCCCTCCCCTACGGCACCTCTCACATGGTGGTTTTGAGACGTTACACCCACATATCAATAATAAAATCATTACGATCAGTTCGTGCCATGTACTGAGGGAGCTGTTTATCTTTTCCCGTGACTTGCAAAAGCACTTGCGTCAGCCAAACGGGCCGCTGCCTTCATAAAACAATGTTAGAGCGTAAATACATTGTGAGCGCGGGAATTTCCCGACATATGGGCATCCACCGCCTAGAATATGAAAGCTCGCAAAAATGGATCCTTTTCATAATTTACAAGTGCGTTTCTCTGCACTGCATATTTGCCGAAGCAATAATGGTACATGTCGTGCTTTGAGTGAGGACAACATCCTATTTGAACGTGCTGGGGCTGGTCTGTTATGATTGTTCATATCAAGAGATCCAACTTTATACTCTGAAATTACGGATTCGGAGTACAAGAGAACTTGTACAAGAGACCAATATGTCGAAAAAGTTGCATAGTCTGCCCTGCGATTTCAGTTCTCTGACAATGGTGGTCGCCGTACGGGTGCAAGGTATTTCGTGTACAGTAAATCTCCCACTTGAAGCTCCAACGGAATGAATTCCTTTTGGTATAGGAGCTTGTTTTTCTCGTGATACGCCTTTAAATTTCGGACGTTGTTTGAGGCAATCATTCTGAAGGTTTTCGACAACGTCCCTTAAGAGATAGAGATGATGGTGTGCCGTGCATGCGATACCGGAATGGGCAGTCGGGGACCTCGTGAGCTGTTCTGCTTTACTTGACAGCGTCAGCGTTGACACATCTCTATGATATAAATATATATATATATATATATATATATATATATATATATATATATATATTATAAATATATATATACATATATATATATATATATATATATATATATATATATATATATATATATATATATATATATATATATATATATATATATATATATATATTATATATATATATGGGCGAGAGGTACTGGGATCGATACCCAGCACCTCACCTCTACCACGTATGAAGTCTTGGTTTGGAAGACCTTTATTAGGCCCGAAGAACCGGCAGCCGACAGCTGAGATGAACGGACCAAGATGATGATGCTACGTGACAACGATGAGGATGCATGAGCAACACATGATAATGATGATAATGTACAGATGAAGAGGATTGGTATACTAAATGCCCACAATATATATATATATAGTCATGGCCTCCGTGCGCGGTCACAACGTGGTTTATTTCGACATTTCGGCCTCGAGTCTGGCCTTCATCAGGATCCTGAGGAAGGCCAGATGAAGGCCAGAAACGTCGAAATAAACCTCGTTGTGACCGCTCACGGAGGATCTACTTGACTATACGCAACGCTACAGCCACTTAACCACCATGCCTGCCTACATATATATATATATAATATATATATATATTATATATATATATATGGGCGAGAGGTACTGGGATCGATACCCAGCACCTCTACCACGTATGAAGTCTTGGTTTGGAAGACCTTTATTAGGCCCGAAGAACCGGCAGCCGACAGCTGAGATGAACGGACCAAGATGATGATGCTACGTGACAACGATGAGGATGCATGAGCAACACATGATAATGATGATAATGTACAGATGAAGAGGATTGGTATACTAAATGCCCACAATATATATATATATTATATATAGTCATGGCCTCCGTGCGCGGTCACAACGTGGTTTATTTCGACATTTCGGCCTCGAGTCTGGCCTTCATCAGGATCCTGAGGAAGGCCAGATGAAGGCCAGAAACGTCGAAATAAACCTCGTTGTGACCGCTCACGGAGGATCTACTTGACTATACGCAACGCTACAGCCACTTAACCACCATGCCTGCCTACATATATATATATATAGTCATGGCCTCCGTGCGCGGTCACAACGTGGTTTATTTCGACATTTCGGCCTCGAGTCTGGCCTTCATCAGGATCCTGAGGAAGGCCAGATGAAGGCCAGAAACGTCGAAATAAACCTCGTTGTGACCGCTCACGGAGGATCTACTTGACTATACGCAACGCTACAGCCACTTAACCACCATGCCTGCCTACATATATATATATATATTATATATAGTCATGGCCTCCGTGCGCGGTCACAACGTGGTTTATTTCGACGTTTCGGCCTCAAGTCTGGCCTTCATCAGGATCCTGAGGAAGGCCAGATGAAGGCCAGAAACGTCGAAATAAACCTCGTTGTGACCGCTCACGGAGGATCTACTTGACTATACGCAACGCTACAGCCACTTAACCACCATGCCTGCCTACATATATATATATATATATATATATATATATATATATATATATTATATATATATATATATATATATATATATATATTATATATATATATATATTATTATATATATATATATATATATATATATATATATATATATTATATATATATATATATATATATATTCGCTGACAGACACTCTCATGTTTAAGTTTTCACATATACCCAAATATAGCCAATAAAGTGGCTGGGAGGATAGCCGCCATGGTAGCTCGGTAGAGCATCGAACACGTTATTCGAAGGTTGCAGCTTCGGTTCCTGCGTACGGCAAGTTATCTTCTCACCCCCTTTTCTTTCTTCACATATACATAACAATGTGGTCTAACCTAACAATGCGGTCCTTGGCAATAATTATTCTTTGTTAGATTTCAGTAATATTGTGTCAAAACACAGAAAAACGAGCCCTTAAGTATACATTTCTTTCCCTTGATTATGAACGAGGGTCTCTTACCGGCAGACTTGGTGCCTCAGGTTGTATAGCAGTGACTCTTGGTCAGCTACCAGCTCTTAATAAGTTCACGTGCTACGTGATGCTACACAGACTCATAAAAGAGTGTGCCACACTCGCCGCCAACGCTACAGATGGCGCTGACTGACTCTCCCACGTTTAAATTCAAATATATACCCAATAAATTGGCTGGGAGGATAGCCGCCGTGGTAGCTCGGTGGTAGAGCATCAAAGGCGTTATTCGAAGGTTCAAGGTTCGGTTCCTGCCCACGGCAAGAAACTTTTCACCCACTTTTCTTTCTTCACATTTACCTTGCAATTTGGTCTAATAACGTCTCCTATACTTTTTTTGGCATTATTGTCTCTTGCAGTTCATTATTATTGTGTGAAAACACAAAAATGAGCTCTTAAGTATACACTGCTGTCCCATATATATATATATATATATATATAATATATATATATATATCTATATATATATATATATATATATATATATATATGGGACAGCAGTGTATACTTAAGAGCTCATTTTGTGTTTTCACACAATAATAATGAGATATAACAGACAGTAATGCCAAGGAATGTACAGGGGAAGTTATTAACATAATGGAATGTAAATAAGAAGAAAGAAAAGTGGATGAAAAAATACCAACTGTAAGCAGGAATCGAACCTACGACCTTCGAATTACGCGTTCGATGCTCTAACCACTGAGCTATTACAGCGGCACTCCCTCCATCCACTTTTTTGGGTTTATCTGTGAA